CCTCCCAGGGTTCGAACAACATGTCTTCTGGCCAAACAGTTTGGAAAGGAAAACCTCACACTGCAAGGTACTACAGGTGTGCCATCAACCAAAAACCACAAAAAGCGTTCCCTTGTGTCCTTCAACAGACTCTCCTGCACAACTCCCAGGACTGGAATCTCCAACCCATCACATTACCCAGGGTGCCCTTTGACCCATCTAATTTACAAGCACGTGGCACATAAGGCCCAGTTTATCAGATCATTTCTCTTAAATTCACCAATTCACTTAAATTCACAGAGATATCTTTACATTTCTACATGAAGATACATTTGTCTGCTCCCTGATCTTCTTTGAAGAAACCTCCAAGTTCTAAAAGAAAAAGAGGAGCAGTGCTCCAGTGAATGTATGCAGGCATTCACAGTGGGTCAGTGAAGGTCTGCATAGGGGCAATCACCCTCTCCTTACATCTCCCTCTGCACCTTGGGTCTCTCCCCTCGCACTCACTCAAGGCTCTTGCCATGACATGTCTTGTAGCCAAGGAAGATCCAGCCTCATTGCACAAGACTCAACCTCAAAAGACAAGAAATCAGCAAAACACCCCTGCCATTTCCTCCCCCATTTCCTCCTCCACAGCAGCCACCCACAACGCTTTTTGAGCAGTCACAAATTTCAACCCAATCCTTCATCTTCATAACAGGCAGACAGACATCATGAAGGGAACAGCTGTTGCCCAGCCCATTTCTCTACTGGAAACACAAGGAGCAAAGTACGGATGAATGCAAAGACATTTCCTACTGACCTCCATTATGTATCGAGACACATGAAGGCTACAAGAGTACAAATTATGAGCAGCAGAGTTACATACGATAAAGCCAATATTGCAATCCAGAGAACCTCACCCAAATCAAGTGCATGTGCCATTGGGAAGACACCTGAACCTGCAAAGAGCACAAACTACAATTTGCTAGTAAGGCAACACACCTGTACAGAAGACCGAGGACTGAAAGGAACACAGGGGTGTCACATGTCAGGGCACAGAAAGCACTTGGTGCATGATGAAAGCACATACTCTCACTCAAACTTCCAGCCACCATCAGCCTCACTACACCTGCCTCCCCAGCAACCTGGAAGACTGAGCAAGGACCCACGTCCACCTCTCACCGGCCCACAGAGTGTCAATGCACGAACCTCTGCCAGATTTGTCAGCAAACTTCCGTACACAGAGAACAAAATACGGCGGGGAAAGAGCAGCAGAGCAGAAGGGGAAGCTTCGTAGAAAGAGTTTGATCTGAAGAACTCACCGAGAGAGGGGCGGGGTCCGCCTGCTGGGCACCGGCAGGTTCCTCGTCTCCGAGCAGCGGCGCGGGCTCGTCGGGCGGCGGCCGGGCCGGCAGGGTGTCGCAGCAGCTGTGGGCCGAGAAGCGGAGGTGGCTCTTGCGCGAGTCGGC